TAAGTTCCGGTACAAAGAACTTGGACTTGATGTAACTTAAACACAGGAAATGAAAGTTCCTGGGCTGGAGAGGTGGCTCAGCAGTTAAGAGCACTGACTGCTCTTCCAGAGGACCCGAGTTCAATTCCCAGCAACCACATGGTGGCTCACAACTATCTATAATGGGATCTGATGCCCTCTGGTGTGTCTGAAGAGAGCAATGGTGTACTCATATACATAAGATAAATAAAAAAAATTTTTTTAAAGGAAATGAAAGTTCCTCCTAAGAGGACGTGTTATTCTTAAGAGGTCTTATTATTTAAACGTGGTAGCAAATAACCTTTAGTGCTATCTTAAAACATTCTAGTTCCCAGATTCTTCAAAGCTTATATACTGAGACTTGGCAGAAAATCAGAAAACCATTCTATAAAAAGCTAACTCCTGGCTAGCCCTACCATCTGTTTGCTTCTGTATTTAGCAACTATAAAAATAAAAGACGCACCCAACAGCAATAATGAATTTATAGGTACATTGTTTGCTAAGTCTTTTTAAAGCTAGAATGTTTCAGCTGTCTCTACTCCAGACACACTCAGGAGGCCCTGGGTGACAGGTGTGTCTTGGCTTACATGGTTTGAAGGACAGCTGCAGAAACTGATAACTTGTGGGTAGATGATGACATTTCCCATGTCATGCAGCCTTTCTAGGCTTCAGTAACATATTAATACAATAGGCCACACCTGCTTTATGCCTTCATCAGAGAGCTGCAAAGGGATAAAGAAGAAAGCTTGCCAGATGGAAATACCTCAAACTAGACATCAATATTGTATTTCTGAAAAAAATTTACTGAAATGACACAGAAGTATTACATACAAACACTACATTTCATCTCATAAGGAACTTGAGCAGTCGTAGACTTTGGTATTTATGGTGTGTGTGTTCTGGGTACCAGTCTTCCACGCATAACAGGTCCAGTGCATTTTTGTGTCTAGTTGATTTTATATACCATAGTCTTCAGGTTTATCCATTATTTTTTTTCTCTTGTTGAGATTAACAGCAGCAAAAGCAACATAGAGGAAAGTCTTGTTTTGGCTCATACTTCCAGGGTACAGTTCAGCATGGTGTGGAAGTCACTGCAACAGGAGCTTGGGTCACAACATGTCTGTTGTCAAGAAGCAGAGAATGATGACTGCTCATGTGCACACATATTTTTTTCCCTCTTCATACAGCATAGGTAATGATGCCACCCGCAGAAAGCAGGGCTTACAAATTAAATTAACTCAATCAAGATAATCACCACAGGCAGTCTTAAAGATGCATTTTCCAGGTGATTTTAGATCTCAAATTGACACTTGCAATTGACTATCTCATCTATGTTTTATCGCACATGACAATTCTCTAAAGGTTGGATTGTATTCTACTGGTGTGTGTGCGTGTGTGTGTGAATTTTTTTGTGCTCTGGACCAGGGTCCTGTGCATGACAGGAACACTCTATACTGAGCTACCCACTAGTCCCCATGCTTTAGGTATTCATCCAATGGTGATACCTAGATATGTATTGGCTATTATACAGTGCTATAGTGAGCATAGGAGTACAAGGATATCCTTGATAATAATTTCCATTTCTTCAGCTATATAACACAGAAGAGCTGAGTTATGTTATCTATTGTGTTTTGTGGAATCTGTCCAGTTTTCTAATGGCTTTATCAATTTATATTCCAATGATGTAAGGGATTCCTTTTCTCCACATCCTCACCAACTTTATCTTGTAATTGTGACAGGCTTATGAGGCAGTAACTCATGTCACAGTGACTTAATTTCCTTGTGTGTGTGTGTGTGTGCGTGTGTGTGTGTATACATACTGGCTGTTTCAGTATCTTCTGTGATGCTTCTGGCTTGGCTTTGCTCACCTTCTTTGGCTGTGGTTCCACTTCTCTAGCTCTCTGAACTGTGTACCACAATATACACTCTTTGATCACTATAGAGGTATAGCTGGTGTGAGCCTTGTACTCTTGGGAATGCAGTAGGTGAAGACTCCACCTTATGCATTCCGACAAGAGAAACAAAGATGCATAAAGACTGAAGGAGAGCCAAGCAAGGGAAACAGCTTCTTTCTACAGGGTTGCTAAATGGTATTAAGTGATGTGTAAATGAAAGTGAGGAAATCTGTGAAGTGTGTAGGAACATGTCAGAAAATTAATACCTCCAAGACAGATCCCAAAGGTGGACTGACAATGCAATAGACAGGAGAGTGGAGGAAAGGCCTTTTTTGAACCAGCCTCTTTTTCTATTTTGGAATATAGTAGTAATGTCCCTTATCTTCACGTCTTTTTGATGATATCGCTTAACTTATTTAGGCATTGTAAACATGCTAGCTTTCAAGGGCCATCATAACAAAGCTTCTTCCCACTAGATGGTTCTCAACATGTTCATTCTGCTTTGAGGTGATGTTTCACATAAAGGTGCCAGTATGACCAACTTTTTGAGAGCTGTAGGGAAAAGATCTTCCTGTCACCTGGTAGTTTCTGGTGGCACAGTGATGCTGGAGTTCCTTGGTTTGTTGACTCAACATACTTACCTTTCATTTCCACCTCCTTAAAGGGGTTGGTTGCTAGAGTTAGGGCTGATTATGATTTAGTATGAGTTCATTTCAACTATACCCACAAAAATCTTATTTCTAAAAAAGGTCAGATTTGTAGGTTTTGGTTTGGCATAAATACAGAGCAAATACTGTACTATTCGGTTCTCTATGTTCTGTGATGAGTTTTTTCTTTTCTTTTTTCTTTTCTTTTCTTCCCATGACGATGAAAGACCATATGAGAGGGATCACAAAGCTGTGAACAGTCTTCTAGGCTTTACCACAGGACTCACTGATGAAGCATTGAACCTGCCTAACCAAAGTGTCCCCATCCACTTCAATAGCTGCTACCTCCTGAGACGACAGGGTCAGGGACTCAGAGTTTACTATTTTGATCATACTGTAAGCACTTTCGTATTCTTGTTTTTGGATTATGCTATAATCTTGAATGGCATCTTTCCTCCATCATATACAAACATTGATTATTGCTAATGAATTATAAAGTTGTTTCACTGAAATCCTTCAACTGTCACCTTACTGAAAGTGTATTATCTCTTTCTGGTTGTTTCTCTTAGATATTCTTGGTGGCAACTACATAAGTTCTAAGGTTCTCAAGTCATGGGGATATAAGACATTCAACAACAACAACAAAAATTGTTGAACAATGATTATGTGTAGGAAGAAACAATGTTCAGGAAGTGGCTTATTTACATCTGTTACCAAGACAAGTTCGGATATTCCTTTCATGCCTACAGCAAGGAAGTGGATCCAATGTCATTATTGTTACAAAGCATTATTTAGCACCTAAATGTTGCAGTTCTGAAGACAAGGTCCAACATTTTGACTGACACAATCTATAGCAACATGACAGACATACAAAGAGCCACCTTTTCCCAGAAGTTGTATTATCATGAGTTTGCTAGTTGCTTGTTGCCAATGTTTCATGTGAGAAGAGGTCAGAGCTTCTCCCACTGTTGGCCTTTGTATACAAAGGCCTCTGAATACCAGAACCACTCATGGTCATAGAGTCTAGTTCAAACAGTTCAACACTTCAGTAGCCCACCATAGTAACCCTCTTTGCATCTTCCACAGATATCTCATTTCAAAAAGTCACTTCCACTTCAATTCCGCCTCTTATTACCACACCATCCAATTTCAAGACATCATACCTCATAGCATACAGTTGTAAGGTTGTTTATTAATGAGCCCTCCTGCAAAGACCTTGTCTGTTTATGCTGCACTGAGCCTAACACCACCACTGTCTACCACCATACATGGTCAATATACAACTGCTGAATGCAATATAGGGATCACCTAAAGTCTGCATTAAAATTAACTTATTAAACAAACATACGTCTTCTGGGTAATATTCTAGAATGGGAACGTTTCAGGTTTTGCTACCTGTAGGAACTACCATGCAGGCTCAGCACTACAGGTGTTTGGACAGGACTGGTAACCTCCTGCTGCTTTCCCACTGCACCACTTTCAATCTCTTTGTTTCTTCTTTCTCAAACACCAATTGGATGAGAACTTCTGTTATTAATCTCTAGAGACTCCTGGAAATTTACTATTATCCAAAATAAAGACACATTCAGAATTCTTGTCATGGCCAGGATCTTATCTGCTGATATATGAGGTCACTAAGGCCTTCCATATGGTATCCCAAACTACAGTTACTTCATGTTTTCGTCATAAATGTCAGTCTTTTCCTCAGCTTTCAGATATCTCCTTAAATGCAAGAACTGTTCACAGACTGCAGTAGCTGTTGCTCAGGTGCATATATGGAAAGCCTGCAGGTGGTTGCTTATTAGTCTTCTTGACAGGAGGGGCATGCCACAAGAGAGGAGGCAAAAATCCCCTTTTTTGGCAGGGGTGGGGTGGGGGGGTGGGGGAGGAAGGTTAGGCTTCCAGGATGAGTTCAGGTTTTGCATGCCTAGGAAGTAGCATTCTTACTAGAACAGCTTCAGTTGGGGGTGAAGTCAGATATCCACCTCACTTTCCCACAATCTACCAACCCAGACAAAACCACAATAGCTAGACTTCAGTGGAATTCTACTTGAGGACAAGGTCACAATGACTACAAGAGAGCTGGAAAAGAATAGAATATAGCTGACTCTGGAACAACCATGGCCTTTAAATGAGAACTGCATCTACCAATGGAAGAGCCACGCTCTCTGGGAGTGGGCCTTACAAAAGCTGATTAACATCCCAGGGAACTCAGGTGGGCTTATGCTTTTAACAAGTGGATTCACATTTCCTAGCATCCCACCAGAACCACTTAGTACATGTGTTCATGGACTAGCAAGAGTTTCTGACAGCAACCTTCACTGAGAAGACAGAGGTGAAGGTGGTGTCAGAGTTTAGACTCGGACTAGAATTCAGGTTCCATTACAACACAGATCAACACCAACATCAATAAAGTATTACATATAAGATGAAGTCACGGTTAACATTTTTGTCAAAACTGTATTTATTTTAAGGTGACAGTTTTTGATTGCACATTTAAATCTATTTATAAACAAAAGTTTTCAAAAAGAATAAAGTCCCCTGCCCCCAAACAAATCACAAAAGGATACAAGATGGTTTACTAGGACCTATAAACCCCAAATGCCATCCAGTCAGACACCTTGGAGGGCATTTCTTAGTATAAACAGGTTCTTGGAGAACTCTACATGGGTTTTGGAACAAGTCCTGGCTCAGGGATAGCTCACCCTGCAGCAGTGTACACACAAAGCAGCTTCTAACGACACACCATCAGTAAAAGTAGTAATGTTCGTATTGCTTACCAAAAAAGTTTCTAGTAAAAGTGGCACCAGAGGATCTGTGGCCTTCATGTACAAACTCAGTAAGAAGCTCTAACAAGTAGCATGGAGTATGGCTTGGTAAAGTCATCAGCAGTGTGAGCACACGCCTCACTGACTCCCTATCTCTAATGGAGCTGTCAGGCAGCTTGCTTCTTCGAGGGCATTCTGGTGCTGCTCTGTGCTCTGCATTCAATAAGGCTGAACTGTTATTCCTATTGTGGGCTTTAGTTTTCTTTCTGTTCATGGAGCTGAGCCCTAAGCTAAGTACTTTCCCCAGTTCTGCTGCAGGCTATGCTTCTTGTTTCCTCCTGTTGACAAGGATAGGCACCATCTGTGGCTGCTTTTCAGACCATTCATATTTGTAAGAACTGCCAAGGCTCAGTCTTGAGATATTCACTCCAGTGAAGGCCAGGACATAGCGGTTTATAAGACAAAAACAGTACTTAAGGAAAGCATGTGCTCTGATTCCTACTGGCTAATTTAACTCCTTAAGTCCCAGGTGGGTTGCAGTTTCTTAATCACTAAAGACACACACTCTTTCTCTTACTGCTCTTAAAATTAATTTACTCATCACCCATAAAACCTGCTCAATTTTACTTTTTTGAGGCAAAGTATTACTACATAGACCAGGCAGGCCAGCCTCAAAATCATAATCCAGTGTTACCACTCTGAAAATACTGTCTAATTTTGTATCAACATAACTAAAAAAATATAGCAGGAAGGCAGAGTATTTGTTCCATGTACATATATATTTATTTAACTTATCAAATATCTATAGAGAACTAAGAATATATACACATATAAACTCAAAGCTTAAAATACAGCCCCAGGTTGCAGTCCCTAAAGCAGCAGGAATATGCAAAATCATAACTCGCCAAATTCTGCCTTGAAGCTCAACTAAGCAGTAAAATCCCCTGAAGCAAGGGAAACACCAAGTTGGAGATACCCCCATGTAAAGACCATGGAGAAGGAACACAGAACAGAAAAGCTATCACCAACAGCTGGAGGCCTGAGGCCACAGCTGGTCTCACCTGAGCATTAAGGCATGAGAGCACCGCTATAACCTTCAGGATCGCATTATATTTTAACTTTACTTCATTTAAGCTTAACTCCTTACTTTTCCCAGTGAAAAAGTAAAGCAAAATTTACCGGAATGTGTGTTTATTCTCCAACAAGTTATATTTGCTATTTAAATCAAGTCTATAGTCAAGAAACTGTGACTTTCTTCATCCTTCATCAATGACTATGAGCTCTTGACTAAAGGCTGCACTGAGATAGCATTCCTGAACAGCATCCAGTGTTATCTGTTGGACACCAAACTACTTTGCAAACAAGTTACAGTCACTATGATTTATCAACACTGTTATCAGACTGTTTTATCTCCTTTTTCTTTTGGCAAACTGAGAACAACCCAGAAAACAAAAATAAGTCTTCATTATTGTATAGAAAAATTAATGAGCCTATACTTACATGCCTAGTAATTCAGACTAAACAGTACAACTGAAATCCTTAGTGCAAGAAATACAACCAATTAATACAGCTTAACACTCACTGATGCAAAGGGAAAACTTTCCTTTTCAGAGGTAGAGTTCAGTGCACAAGGCTTAAAAACAATAGTCAACAGTCTGAATAAAACCAAGCCAGGCTATAAAGAGTCACTGTTGATGTCAGATACCAGGCTGTGTGTACACATATAATAAATACACTGTACAATCTTTTAAAGTAGTTTAATAAACTCCACAAAATAGTATCAGGTGCATTGAACTATTTACATAAGTCAATTTCCAAATCTCTCATCCAAATAAAAGGAATAAAAATAAGATTTCTGCCATCAAGTCAGCAGTTCTTTCCTGAAATGGGCTGGTAAAATAAGGTACTTTACATGAGAGGAAGGAATTTGTCTAAGAGGTATTCACATTTGGATAAGAAAATAGGTCCCTTTTAGAGTTATAGAGATGAGGGAATACAAAATGACACTTTCTACATTTTTAGACCTCTGTTTAAGGTTCGTGAGGAGAGAAGCTGATTCTGTTTCCCACTCAGAGCAAATCATCAAAGAAGCAACAGGAGGGCACTTAATTTTTTCCTTCCTGACTTGGAAGTTTAGGCCAGAATCTGTTGATATTGCATACAGAACTACGTAAGACACACTGCATTAAATCCTGACTAACATTTGTGGCCCCATAATTTTTGGATTTTGACATTTTGTTCCTTCCATTTTCAAAGTGTGCTCTATTGAGAGGGGTCAGGTATATGATTTTAGGGTATTCAACACTAACATACAATTCTAAACTTTTCCAAGCTCACACAGGAGGAGTATGTAACAAAGTAAATGCTAGAATTTGTCTCAAACAAGGAAAACCTCACAAACCTTGGTCATTGCAACCTAAGAAGATGGGCAGAAGCAAAGCACTTGTGTGTAACTCAGACTCTTGGACTTCATGTTAGATTCTCTCTTTGATAGGTACCTTTAACCTTTTTATTGTACTCAATAGAAGAGTTTAATCTGTCCCCAAAACAAGTCAGAAATAGTCAGAAAACAAAACAAACAAACAAAAAAAGCTGGTTATAATTAAGGAAGTATGAACCTTCACAGTTTGTATAGCTTCTCCAAGCACCCACAATGAGAATGCAAGTTGAATTTTTTTTTTTTTATTCAATCATTCTGTGAAAAACACCTCAGGAAATAGTAACATTTTTCCTTTTAGTGATCTTTCCCACTGGAATACCCACCCACCCACTCCCCATTTTCTAAATTTTAGATTTTTAAAAAAACTGTATACAAATAGACTAAATTTGATTTAAAGGAAGCATATAAAAGTCAAGGAGAATATTGCTTACAACAATGGACATGGAAGTATAAGAATGACCAGGCAGGGAGCACATGGACACGGCTCCTCATGAGGTCAGGAAAACCTGGCTCCCCGGATGCTTCTCTATCCAAGATGCTTGTGCTGAAGACTTTTGCCTTCAGTCACAAAGTTTGATTGAGTTTTGTAATTTACACCTTCATGTTAGCAGAAAAAGAGAACCTGGGAGGGAGAGGTGACAAAACCAAAACCAAGAACAACCAACTTCAAGAAAACTGGAAGGCACAAGCACCCATGTTAATCTAGATAGAATGTTCTTGGAATTAGGCAGGAGAGGGAAAGTTTTGGTTTAGCACTACAGTCAAGTTAATCCTGCTATTGTTGAAAAAGGAATCATATAAAACAGGTGTGTAGAAAGACAACAAGCACATCTTACGTGTGAGGAAGAAAGCTCAGAAGACGGCTAGAGAAAATGGAGCAGAGATAAATAACCAGCACTATTTATTTGGATGTCTGTGTCACGGTGATTACAAACTATACTCTCTGCTCTGACGAATCAAAACCAAACCAGAATAAAAATCAACAAACATCCCCATCCCCAAGCCCAAGAGAGCAGCAAGAAGGAATGCAGGAAGTCTTACAGAGCACGCTGTTTCCGAGGGCATAGCACGGCACTGCTGATTCGGAGATGCATTCAGCTCTGCTGCCTATCACCTGGGTCCATCTGCTATCTATGAGCAGACAGGAACCCAGAAACAGCAAAGCTACCAAGTAATCTCTGCCTCAAGACAACTTCCTTTTCCTTCATTTCCTTCTCCAGGATTAGAGTCTGTTTCCTCCATGAAAGAAGTGCTGTTCATGATGGCCGGGAAGGCTTGATACCCAGTTTCCTGAATACTGATTCCACGTCCCTTAAAGCCCCTTTGCCTGCACTCACGCAGTGTGGAGGTGGCGAGAAGGCATCCTTGATGGGGCTCTGTGTTCAAAACAGAAGGAAAAAAGAAAACCAAACTAAACCACCTCAGTTCATCTTTTCTTAAACAAAAGGAGAAATTAGGGATGGCATGGCCTCAAGAGAGTGCCCTAGTTAGGAGATGATGGCTGGAGACCACCGTGGCAGAATCAGGTTGTCAGCACTTGCTGAACGCTTCCTCATGGGTTTTCTCAGGTCCTTGTACTTGTCCTCACAGAGACGAGAGATGGCCTGAGAGGGAGAAAGACAGTGCAGGTCAGGGTACACACCAAGGTTCCACCTCAGCCAGGGGCTGTGCAACACTGTCATATCTACTGGCTCAACTGGTCTTGCTGCCTAGCACAACTCAAACCCTGTTTCCAAATGGGGTGGTGGGAGTGGTGGTGGTGGTGTGTGTGTCTTCATGATCTTGAAAACAGAAGAGAAGACCCAAGGCTACTGTGAGGGACAACCATAATGAGCACAGTACTGGTGAGAGACAACTATAGTAAGGACGGCAACAAATAAGGTGTCCAGAGTTTGACCTAGGAACCAGCATGGACCGACATAGTGAGTGTTCGTGAGACCAGACAGAGGGTTTTGAGGGATGGAGAGCCCATACAGGCCAGGATGGAAACACTTTGTAGTCTGTTGTCAGCGCAAACCTGCCACCAATCTTATGAGAACATGATAAAATTCAAAGGCTGCTTTTTAGGAAAATAACTCCAGTATCAGCAAAGAAGATGGACTGGAGAAGAGAAACCAGACAGGCATCCATGTTGAAGCCAAGTGGTCAGCTGGGAGAGCAGACAGATTACCAAGCTGAGCTGCCTCACCCCAAGCACTATGTAGAGTTTGTGGGTCTTTTATTTAAAATTTCTGAGATTACTAATTGCTATTTCTCACGAATAGTGTGTATCTGAATTCATAATAGCAACAGATAGTAGTGTTCCCTCTTAATCAGATTATACATGGTAATAACAGCTTTCTCTAATATGTAGACAGAATCAAAACACCCTGAGTCTGGTTGAGAGTACTTTTTAAAAAGATAACTATATAAGACACTTTGCATGTGGTACAGATCTGCACAGAAGGGGACAGTGGCACCTCCCTGGAGTTCTTCTATAGTCTCAGTGCTGAGCACCTAGCCTGCCTCCTTGCTTTACTGAGCTTCCATCTTAAGATTAATGGACTTCTGGGGATGTTGTGGTGCACAGCTTTAAGTAAAGCACTTAGGAAGTAGGTGCAAGAAGATTTCTGTGAGTTTGAGGCCAGATTTTTGTGAATTTGAGGCCAGCCTGGTCTACATAGTAGTCCAGTCAGGGTTAGGTAAAGAGACCCTGTCTCCAAAATTAAAAAAACAAAAACAAAAACAAAAACCCAAACCTCTTAATTGTTCTCTTAACTGTAATTTTTAAGAATCAAAACAGAAAACCAAAAAACAAACAAACAAAAAAACAAACCCCTTAGAACCTATGTGCCCAAGCTGACAACTTCCAATACAATGAGCGGGAACAGGGATAATATTGTATTACTTGAGGGAAAGAATCTCAATGAGGAATTCTCTAGAGCAGACTGGCCTATGGGCATGTCTATAGGGGACTGTCCTGATTACGTTAATTGAGGTAGGAAGATCTGTCCGTTGTGGGTAGCCCCATTCCCTGGTTTGGGTTCTCAATAGTAGAGTATGCTGGCTCAGCACTAAGCATATATGCAATTGAGAATCCAGAAAACTATTATTATTGTCTTTTTTTTCCCTAAAAGATTCTTTTGTAGTTGGAACTAAGGTCTGCCTCAGTGGATATGGTCTGGGTTGAAGGCTGTTGTTACTAACCCATGACTGTTTATCACAGCAAATGTGGTCCACCAACTCTTCACATCTGGTTTAATGAGTAGCGTAAAAGGCAAAGTGGGACAGAGAATGGGGTCCGCACACAATGGAGCAGGGGCACTAGAGTTCCTTCTGGATTCTCAATTGCTAAGGCCACTTGGCAGCTTCTTCCCATTTCATTTTACTTTATTTTATTTTTTGGTTAATGCATGGTGAAAAATACTTATTTTTGTGGACTATAAAAACAAAAAGTAAGACCATAAACATAAGAGTGTTAAGAAGAATCATTTAGAAATAGAATTGGTGCACAATAAGGAAAAGCTGCCTTATGGTTGTTAAAACACGAAGAACACATATATACTCAGTTAATGAATTGGCTTGAAATCAAAGTAGGGTCCTGTCCTTATTTCCCAACACACACTAGAGAATACTGAGAGTGTGGGGGTACAGAAATGGTAATGGGACAATGCACTGCAGTGGTGTGTGAATCCCCCTTACCTCAAGCTTGTGGGCACGATCCCTGCTTAGGGGCTCCAGAGGAAAGCTCAGGTTGTTTGCTTCTGCCAGAGAACGAAGATCAAAATAATACTTGGCATACACACTGGAAGGAACATTGATGTTAAACTGCAGCAACTCAAGGAACTGCCGCTCAAGTTCATTCCTACAAAACAAAAGCAAAAATAGTCACACTTAGCTGCCTACAAATAGGCATGGCTGCCACCCATTGAAGACTCCAGAAAATTACATCTTCCAGGAAGAAAACTGATCTAATTAACTGGCTGGCTGAACACTAGCTATGCAATATGACCAACAAATAGGTATTAAAAGGCAAATCCACATGAGCTGGAACCCAGAAAGATGAAGACTGACTGTGATGATCAACAGAAACTGCTTTAGAGAGATCCCTTATAGGAATTCCAGGGCCCTGGGCTTTGAGTTGGGTGTTGTGGAACTTGCTAAAGAAGCTGACAGACTACCCCTACTCCACCCTTAGCTAGTCTTTAGATGGGCCTTTCTAATAGGTCTTATGTGGGGCTGGCTGCTGGAGAGGTCTCTACAGTGAGAGGAGAGGTGTTTAGGTACACAGACAGCTCTTTTTGATAAGTAGGAATGGCAGCAGCCAGAGTGAATTTTCATATTTCAATACCAAGAATAACTCATTCATCTTTCAAAGTAGGGATACTTGTTACTATTGTAGGAGCTGGTCCTGTTTTTCTCCCCAGAAAGTAAGTACCTAGTATGTTGGGCCAACACTCTGGGATACCTGCTTCTGCCCTTTGACATAGTACACTGCAACTATTCGGTGTGACTTCTATGTTTCTCAGCTAGGACATCTGTTTTTCTAGGTAAGTGAGAAGAGTCCTGAGCAAGGAGGGTGAAGCTCTGGTGGGAAGGGGCAGCCAGAGATGTAGGAATTTGAGCAGAGGAACCCACTTGGTAGGGGCCTCGCCTTTACTCCCCATTTGTGAAGCTGAACTTGGGTGCGTCCTGAACATCCTATGCATCACTCTTCAGACCTAAGCCAGTACACCACTATCTTGCTCTCAGGCTAAACTCAGTCCCATTCAACTTGTGCCTAACAACCACAGTGAAAGCACACACACATCCAACTTGTGCCTAACAACCACAGTGAAAGCACACACACACACACACACACACACACACACACACACACACACACATAAAAATGGCCTTATACTCAGTCTTCTGAAGATGATGGAGGCTGATAAAGAGGAAATAAACAAATCCCTTAAAGAAATACAGAAAAATACAATCAAACAGGTGAAGAAAATGAATTAAACTATCCGAGAACTGAAAATACTAACAGAAACAATAAAGAAGACACAAACTGAGGGAATCCTGGAGATGGAACACAAACTATAGATGTGAGCATCACAAAAGACTACAAGAGATGGAAGAGAGAATCTCAGGTGCAGAACATACAGTAAAGATACTGATACATCAGCCAAAAAAAAGTAAATCTAAAAAGTTCCTGACACAAAACAACCAGGAAATCTGGGACACTACAAAAATATCAAAACGAAGAATAGCAGGAATAGAAGGAAAAAAGGAGGAAGAGGAGGAGGAAAAAGAGGAAGAGGACAAGAGGAGTATTCCAAGAAGAAGGATGATGATGAGAAAGAGGAGGAGGAGGAGGAAGAAGAGGAGGAGGAGGAGGCGGTGGCGGCAGCAGCAGCAGCATCCCAGCTCAAAGGTCCAAAAAATATTTTCAACAAAATCATAAAAGAAAATTTCTCTACCCTAAAGAAAAAGATGCCCATAAATGTACAAGAAGCTTACAGAACACCAAGACGGAACTGATAAGATACAGGGAGTTGCATGGTGGTGCACGACTTTAATACCAGCACTTGGGAGGCAGAGGCAGGTGGATTTCTGAGTTCGAGGCCAGCCTGGTCTACAGAGTGAGTTCCAGGACAGCCAGGACTACACAGAAAAACCCTGTTTCGAAAAACAAAAACAACAACAACAAAAAAATACAGGGAGTTAATTCAGTTGTCTTTGTCTTGTATATATCAGACCACCATGAATTAAAGCTGGACTTCAACAACAACAAAAACGGCAGAAAGCCTACAAACTCACAGAAATTGAACAATTTTCTACTGAATGACATCTGGGTCAAGGTAGAAATGAAGAAATTAAAGACATTTTAGAATTCAATGGAAATGAATGTATAGCATGCCAAAACTTATGGGACAAAATGAAATTTGTGGTTAAGAGGAAAGTTCATAGTATTACATGCCTTCATAAAGAAATTAATGAGAGCTCATATTAATGACTTAGCATACCTGAAATTTCTACAACAAAAAGAAGAGTAGATGTCAAGAAACAAAGTCAGGGTTGAAATCAATAAAGTAGAAGCAAAAATACAAAGAATCAATGAAACAGAATTGGTTGAGAAAAATCAAGAAGACAGACAAACCCTTAGCCAAACTAAAGATACTGCAGAGGGGAAATATCCAAATTAACAAAATCAGAAATGAAAAGGGGTGAGACACCAAAGAAGATCAAAGAATAATTGGGTCTTATTTCAAAAACCTGTACTCTACACAATTGGAAAATCTAAATGAAGTGCATGATTTTATTGATAAAAGTTGAACAGCCGCCAGCGCCACCATTGCCACTACCCCTGTCTAAATGGTTTTAGTCAAGAAATTCTACCAAGACTTTCAAAGAAGCGCCAATTCCAATTCTCCTCAAATTATTCTACAAAATGGAAATAGAAGGAAAACCGCCAAATTTCTTTTATGAGGCCACATTCACCCTGATATCTAAACCACACAGACTCAACAAAGAGAATTTCGGACCAATTTCCCTTATGAAATGCAAAATAGTCAATTAAATACTAGCAAACTAAATCTAAAAACACATAAAAAACATCATCCACCATGATCAATTAAGCTTCATTCCAGTGATGCAGGAATGGCATAACAGAGGAAAATCAATCAATGTAATGCACCAAATAAACAAACTACAGACAAAACAAAACAAGAAAACATGATCATCTCATTAGATGCTGAAAAAGTCTTTGACAAAATCCAACACTCCTCCATGTTAAAAAGTCTTGGAGAGATCATGGATACAAGGCACATACATAAACACAACATAAGCAATGCATACCAAGTAAATAGGAATATCAAATTAAATGAAGAAAAACTGAAAGCATTACATTAAAATCAGGCACATGACAAGACTGCCCACTCTCACCCTATCTATTCAATATAGTAGTTGAAGTTTTAGGTAGAGCAGTAAGACAATAAAAGCAGATCAAGGGTATACAAATAGGAAAGGAAGAAGTCAAAGTATTGCTATTCGAGTATGATATGATGGTATACATAAGTGACTCCAAAATTCTACCAGCAAACTTCTAAAAAGATGGCAAGCACCTTCAGAACAGTGGCTGGATACAATAATCAACTAAAAAAAAAAATCAGTAGTCCTCTTTTACACAAATGATATTTGGGCTGAGAAAGAGATGAGGGAAAGAACACCCATTACAATAGCCACAAATAATGTAAAATATCTTGGTGTAAATCTAACCAAGCAAATAAAGGATCTGTATAAGAACTTTAATTCTCTGAAGAAAGAAAATGAGGAAGATATCAGAAGATGGAAAGATTTCCTATGCTCAAGCAATCTACAGATTCAATGCAATTCCCATCAAAATTCCAATACAATTCTTTACAGATTTTGAAAGAGCAATTCTCCACTAAATATGGAAAAATAAAAAACCCAGGGGAACTAAAACAATCCTATATAATAAAAGGACTTCTGGAGGTTATCATCATCCTTGTCTTCAATCTGTACTACAGAACAATAGTAATAAAACTGCATGGTACTGGCATAAAAACAGACAGATTGATCAGTGGACCTGAATGGAAGACTAAGAAGTAAATCCATACACCTAAGGACACTTGACTTTTGACAAAGAAGCCAAAACTATAGAATGGAAAACAAAACAAACCAACCAACCAAACAAACAAACAAACAAAAATAAATAATAACAACAAAGGAAGCAGTTTAAACAAATGGGGCTGATCAATCTGGATGTGTGCATGAAGAAGAATGCAAGTGGATCCATATCTATCACCCCACACAAAACTCAAGTCCAAGTGGATCAAAGACCTCAACATAAAACTGGATACACTAAACCTGACAGAAGAAAAAGTGGAGAATAGCCTTGAACGTATTGGTACAAGAAACAACTTCCTGAATAGTACTAAGGTCAAGAATTAATAAATTAGGACCTCATAAAACTGAAAAGGTTCTCTAAGACAAAGGACATCAACAATAGAACAGAATGGCATCCTTCAGAATGGAAAAAGATCTTCATCAATCTTGACCTCTGATAGAGGACTGATATCGAAAATATATAAAAAAAAAAACTCAAGAAACTAGGTATCAACAAAGCAAATAATCCACTTTAAAAATGGGGTAAAGATCTAAATGGAGAATTCTTGACAAAGTAATCTCTAACGGCCAAAAACCACTTAAGAAATGTTCAACATCCTTAGTCATAAGGGAAATGCAAATCAAAACAACAATGACCTTCCATCTTAGTACTGGTTAGAATAGCTAAAAATAAAAAATTCAAGAGACAGCTCATACTGGCAAAGAGGATGTGGAACAAGGGGAACACTCATCCATTGCAAACTTGTACAACCACTTTGGAAATCAATTTGGCAGTTTCTCAGAAGACTGAGAATAGATCTACCTGAAGACCTATCTATACCACTCCTGGGCAGATACTCAAAGGATGTTCCACTATATCACAAGGACACTTACTCAACTCTGTTCATAGCAGCTTTATTCTCTATTGTATCCAGAAGCTGGAAACCATTTAGATGTTTCAATAGAAGAATAAAAAATACGTGGAAGATTTACACAATGCTATTTAAAACAAGGACATTATAAAATTTTCAGGCAAATGGATGGAAATCATCTTGAGTGAGTTAACCCAGATCCTGAAAGACAAAGATGGTGTATATACTCAACTTATAAGTGGATATTATTCTTAAACTATAGGTTAAGCATGCTACAATCCACAGATCCAAAGAAGCTAATTAATACCAAGGGCTCAATGAGAGAACCCTTGAATCTAAATGATCAGGGGAAACAGATTAGACATTGGGGGTGGAGGCC